CGCTGGAACCGCGGGAATGAATCTTTGCCAGAGCGGGCCGAGGCGGTCGGGGAGACGCTTACTCTGCCAGGCTTGGTATCAGCGGATAATGGCACCTACACTTGCGAGGCGTCGAACAAGCACGGCCACGCGAGGGCGCTCTATGTACTCGTGGTCTACGGTGAGGGCAGGCAGCGGCCGGCCTGGGGGCGGGGCTCAAGGCAGGGGCGGGGCCTCGGAGGAGGTCTCCGGGAGTCCTGGGTGGGGCGGGGCCTTGGGAATGGGCGAGCTGGATTGGATGGTTCAAGACCTGCCAGGGGTGTTTGAGGGGCCTGTGCAAAGGGTGATTCCTTGGGGTCAACAGCCAACAGAATTCCTGGAGTTCTGCGGCCAGATTGACCGTCTGGGTTGACACTGGGCTCTGCAGCACCCTATTGCGGGTAACTTTGCGCCTTAGTTTCCTCATCGGTTAAGTGGAAATAAACAATAGCAACCACCTCATAGGGTTGTGAAGATTATATGAGCTAAATATATAAAGGGGTTGAAATGGCCCCTAGCACAAAATAAGTGTTATGTGGTTAGCCCTTATAACGGCGGGGCAGGAATTTTGGAAGTTGTTGGGCCCTATAGCTCAGCATTTTAAATACCTGGAGCGTTTTAGACAAGGGGGGAAGGGACTTGGACCTGAGGTTCTGTGGGTCAAGGAGTCCAAAGAAAAGGGATGTGCTCTTTCTGTTCTGTGGGGAATGGGGTGGGGGAAGGAAGTGGGATAGTACTGGCAAAGGGACTCAGGGGCTGGGTCGGGCAGTGTGCAAACCAACACGCGCGCATTCTTTGTGGAAATGGAGCATCAGGAAAGAGTGGAGCCAGGACAAGGGACCAGGAGTGGCAGTAACTTGAGGGGCGTGGCACGCAAAAGCACGGTTAGTGTGTGGACTGGTTTAAGCGATCCACAGCGATGGGGCCGGGCTGGGACCGTCCTCCGATGACCTGGTCCTGCGCCCTGTCTCTCTGGCAGACCCGGGTGCGGTGGTAGAGGCTCAGACGTCGGTGCCCTACGCCATTGTGGGCGGCATCCTGGCGCTACTGGTGTTTCTGATCATATGTGTGCTGGTGGGCATGGTCTGGTGCTCAGTACGGCAGAAGGGTGAGTGGGGGCGGGGTCTGACTTCAGCGAGGGGTGTGGCTGGTTGTGGGATCCGGAAGGGGGCGGGGCCCAGAGCCCGGGTTGGCAAGAGGGCGGGCGTACAGCCGAGGTGGTAAGGGGGCGGAGCCTAGATCCGGGATTCGAAATCTGGCGGGACCTGAGGCCAAGATTCCAAAAGGGCGGACCTTTCCGCCACGACTCTAAAAGGGGTGAAACGCTGAAGGCCAATTAAGGCCATGGGTTTGAATAAAACATTGATCTTCCTAATTGTTGGATTCGTTGGGAGCAGAGCAAGGGGACACCGCCAAGAGAACGGATAAGGGTGGTCTTTCTGTGAACTTTTGGAGTCTTCCTAATTCTGCTTTTACCTCTTTTCTGCCCCTGTTTTGCTATCCCCTGGACTTGATGCCCTCTCCCTGTATGTTCCCTTTCTCCCTCTTTCTTCGCCTGGTATGTCTTGTCTGTCTCCGTCTTCCCGTATATTTCTGCCCAACTCCTGGGTCCACATATATGTCGCCTGTGCCGGGGGTCTGCCACCCCTCAGGCTCCTATCTGACCCATGAGGCCAGTGGCCTGGATGAGCAGGGAGAAGCAAGAGAAGCCTTTCTCAATGGCAGCGACGGACACAAGAGGAAAGAAGAATTCTTCATCTGACCCCACCTCCACCCAGGCCTGGGCCTGGTCCTGGGCTGGGGTCCACCCCACTGCCAGCTGCAAAGACATTTACCAGAGTCTGGGATGGTGGGCCTCTCCCCCCACCACTAACACCTCAGACGCTTGGGCAGGGATGGGGGTGTCGGATCCCGGGTCTCTGCAAGGGCCAGAAGCAAGGGCCCAGAGGTCTGGGCCCCCCAGGGGGCAGGGGCCAAAGGTCCAGACCCCCAAGTCCAGGGAGGGCGGTAGGGATTGGGTTGGGGGAAGATAACTGGGGGAAGGCCACGGCCCCTAGGCTGCAGAACCAGGTCTTGTGGGGAGGGGGTCAGATTCTGGGAAGGGTGGGGTGGGCAGGGAAGGGGAACACAGATTTCTTTGGGGGTCCCAGACCCCATGCCAGCCATTGTAGGAGTTCCACGGAGCTCTGGGCACCTCTTTGCAAAGCCATGTTTGCACGGTGGGGGTAAGGGTGGGGGGAGGGCATGGAAACAGGGATTCTGTGTCTTTGTGTCATAACTTCGATGGGGGTGGTGAGGGAGACAGCCCCAACCCTTTTCTCCAACCCCCAGGTTCCTGGGCTCCCCTTCCCTCCACCTCCTCCCCCCGTATCTGTCCTATCCATATTTGTCTCTCTTTCTACCCACTCCTGGGGGGGCCTTCCCCATCTCTCCTCCAGGCCCTCCAGGGAGAGGGAAAGGAGTTTGGGGGGTGCGTTGGTCTCTATGGTTTTATATATAATATATTAAAAAAAATTAAAAATCTGTATGAAAATATCAGATTGCACCCCCCTCCCCTCATTCCTGGCTTTTGCCCCCTTTTTCTTGTAAAAAAAAAAAAAAACAAAAACACATTTTGTATGGGGAGGGGACGGGGAGGGGGTTTGGCAATCCCACTAACCACCATTAAACTGAGGAGAGAACAAGTGTCTGGGGTGGCTGTGTGTCTGTCCCTCTGCCCAGAGCTGCACTATGTTGGGAGGGGAACTGAACTAAGGGGGGGAGGAGGGAGAGGAGTAAGATGGTTGCTGGTGGACAGTACAAGCCAGGAGAGGGTCCTTACCTCTTCAAGGGCACCTCCCCTCTTCCAAGAAATTTGTTTTTTCTCCTGGCCATTCCATAAGCCAAAAGTCACTGAGTCTTGTCTCTTCAGTAGCCACTGAGCTACCCCATCCCCAGCCAATGGCCTGGATCCTTCCCCTGGCTTACTCCTACCCCTGACATCAATCTCCAAAGGACCTCTCTCCCTGGCAACACCTGTCCCTGCTCTGCTCAAAACCTTTCCCTAGCTTCCCATCACCTCTAGGTCAAGTCAAACCCCCTTAGCCTGGCATTCCTGACTCCTTCCTCCTCCTCACTCCACTAAATTTTAGATGAGTGATTCTAATTTTAGACTAAAAAATACATTGACCTCTTACTTTGTGCCAGGTGCTACTCAAAGATGTGGAGATGCCATAGTGAATAAAAAAGGCAGATGTTAGATGTTCTAGACACCTTAGTACTCATCTGAAACTTGATCCTAGTCTAGGCACTGAGGACCCAAAGAAAAAGGGTGACTCCATTCTTACCCTCACAAAGCTTCCATGAGAACAGACTGCAGCAAGGAAGCAAAAAAACTTAAATTTCAGATTGCCCTAAGTACCCTTAAGATAAAATGCAGAGTAAGGTGATGTGGGGTATTACTGACTTATTATGGAAAACTTCAAACACAGTAGTAGACAGAACAGGATAATGAAGTCCCATGCACCCTTCACCCCAGCTTCCACAACCATGGACTCATGACCAAACCTGCTTTAACCATAACACCACTCACTTCTCTAAAGCAAATCTGGAGGTGCCATCTTTGAAAGATCAAGGAGAGCCTGCCTGATTGACACCTGTGCCAAGAAATGAATGATGAGCATAAGATCAGCTATTCAAAGATCAGAGGGAAAAGCATTTTCAGGCAAAGGGAATAGCAACGGCAAAGGCCTGAGGTGGTAAAGAGATTGCAGTGTTTGAGGGGAAGTGGAGCTAGACGGTGGAGTGGACAAAGAGAGGTGAGTAAAGTCAGAGACAAGTAGGGGCAGACCATGTGTATAGCCCCTGGGCCATGACAGAGTTTGGATTTTTTTCTAAGTGTAATGGGAGCTCATTGGAGGGTTCTGAGCGGGAATCTGAGTCAATTGCAGGAAGCCTGGAATGCTGCAATAGCTTCCTATACGGTCAGGTCAGCGTAGTCTGAGGTCTTAACTTCACCTGTAGGAGCCATTCCCCTCTCTTAATTCTGTGTTTCAGGGATACTTGGCTGCTATCATTTTCTCAATCAAACCATGACTACTTTTTGCCTATAGGCTTCTACCCTTGCTGTTCCCTCTGCCAGAAAAACTCCTAGTTGGCTTCTATTCATCCTTGGCTTAAATATCATCACCTCTTGGATGCCTTTCCAGGCTGGGGCAGGCACCTCCTGTGGCTCCCACAGTTTCCTATACTCCACTCATCCCAAGTCTGACCAATCTGGGTTGTGGTTCTGACTTTTGTGGCTCTCCTTCCTTTGACTGAGGTGCCACGAGGATAGGCGCCAGGTGTGTCTTGTCTACTGCGGAAAACACAGTGCCCACCAGCACAGGCCTTGGCACAAAAGAGAGCAGTAAATATTTATGCTGGGGGGGAGGGCTTGTGGGGTTGGTAAGTGTCTTGGCCCTTGTGCCCCCTCTCCGGATGCAAACTGATGCCGACTAAAACAAGGCCACCCGCTCCGCGCTAGTCCGCAATCGGTCAGCGCGTGCGCTTTGTTCAGGAGAGCCCCCAGCCACCGCCCTCCCCATATGCTAATCACGGCTTTCGGGAGTACGGCCTCTCCGGGGAATATGCAAATCAGCCCTTCAGCGCCGTAGGGCTTCTATTGTCCCTCACTAAGATTATGCAAATAAGCAAGCCTCAGGCCCAGGATCCAGGTTTAGCTGACGCTCCCATCCCCTAGCTCATCACATTTTCTATAAGGCGCGTTCGTGCTCGCTCACGCACGCGCAAGCCTTGCAGTTTCTTGTTCGTTTAGCTGCGGACTGTACCAAGTAAACCCGGACAGCGAGGGGCAAAGCCCGGAACCCCCTGCGCGGGCCTCGTCGATGGCCCAACTCGGAGAGCCCCTCTTCCCACAGTACGACGGGAATGGTCCATCTCGCCGCGCAAGCGCCCTAGGCTCTTCACGCGTTTTGCACTCCCTCCTACCCGACTTGCAGCGCAGGCGCAGAGCCGAGGCGTGCAGCCGCCGCCGCCGAGCCAGAGCGGGGGCAGCTAGCGCCGGTGAGTGTCCGGGATAGGGGTGCGCGGGGCATGCTGGGAAGCGGGCGCTACGGCACCGCTGCATGATGGGAGTGACGGCTCCCGTCACCGGGGCGAGCAGGCAGCCGTCTTGGGCCGTGATGGCCGGAGGGCGAGACCCAGGCTCCCTTTTCTCCCCCAACGCGGCTCCGTGCCGCCCTGGGGCATCCTGGGGAAACGGGACGCTCGGCCCTGAGGCATTGTGGGAGTCGGTCCGCTAGTCGTTATGGGCCTAGTGCATTCTGGGAAGCATTATCCTAGCTCCTTGTGGGGAAGCAGTCCCTTTTGTTACACACCTTCTGCTGAGCATCCTGGAAGGTCGGAGTGCTTCGACGCAGAACACCTTGGAAGGTGGTCATTATAGGCCCGAGGCGTCCTGGGAAGGATTGTCGCAGGGCATTGTGGGGACTGGTCCTTATTGTCCGGTGTAAGGTTTTGCTCTGGCCTCCTTGCCCTAGCATTGTGGGAACGGGTGCCTATTATGTTCACGCAGGGCATCCTGGGAATTGGTTCCTGTAGGTTCAGTATTTGGTGGGGCCTAGGCACAGTGTTTTCCTTGTGGTAGTGAGGGAGCCTCATTTGTGTCCCTTTAAAATTGTGGAAGCCGGTATGGCAACCATAGTCGTTGTAGGAATGGGACTTGTGCACCAAAGAATGTCTCCACTTGACATCTGGAATACTCTGGAAGGTCGTTGTGTGATGTGGGTTTGGGGGAAGGTAGGCTGGACTGGTGAGCAATGTCTCCTGGTAATCTCATGGGAAGTCCTGATTGTCTCTAGTGTGTGCTTGCCAGGTAACATATAGAACGTCCAGTTAAATTTGAGTTGCAGGTAAATAACCTTTTAGAAATGTTTATCCCAAATATTGCATGGAACCTGTGTCTATTAAATAATTTTCTGTTTATCTGAAATTAAAATTTAACCAGGCATGGTTTGTTTTTATTTACTAAATCTGCAAACTTATCCTGGCATGAAGTAGAAATCCCAAATTAAATGGACCCTACAAGCAATAGGGTATTAGGACAGTTCTCCTCTGCCAATTATGAATCTCCTGTCCTTAAAGCCCAGATCCAGGTGTCTTTAGAAAGCTCCCCTGCCATTGCTACCAGCCCCACCCCCCCATGCACCAGCCTCCTCCAGGCTTCGCTTTTTTTTTTCCTTCCCTTTTGTCCCCAGCATTAAACTTGACTTCTACGCTTTGAAGGGATTGTGTATTTTCCACCATTATATCCCCAGTACCCAGCACAAGTCTTGGCATAAAGAGGTGTAGCTGAGGCTGCCAATCCTTTCACTAGCTTGGCTCTTCTTGGCTCTTTACAGCCAGGGAGTGCAATGGGAGACAAAAGAATTGCCGTGTGTGTGTGTGAAGGGAGGTGTTGGTGAAGAGGGATAGGAAGGAAAGGAGTCAGAGACGGCTTCTTGCCGGAGGTAGAGATGGTATTTGGGCTCGAAGAAGTACAGAGGTTCTTGTGTTTGAGATGGGTTTTGGAGAGCGAGTAGGAGTTCGCCAGGCAGACAAGGACATTCTAGACAGCAATAGTAGGATTTGCTAAGACCCACAGATGTGAAAAGCCCTGGTGTGCACGGGGAGAGGTGAGAAGTCTGAAATGGCTGGGGTTTATAGAACGGGTTGTGGGTGGGAGTATTAACAGCCACTGTTAATGGAGTACCTGCCACGTACCGGCAGTTTATATTGAATCAGCCCACTGAATCTTCAAAAAGTTTTTTCAGCCGAGGGATCATTTTATGAGAGAGAGGGTAACATCAAATCCTAGTTCACCCACCAACTAGTTGGTGTGACCTTGAACTACTTGTTAAGCCTCTCTGTGCCTCAGTTTCCTCGTGTACAAAGGAGGTGATAATCTCTCAACGTAGTTACAAGGACTACATGGGTTAAGCCCGGGGAGCCCTTTGGTACTGAGAAGGAAACAGGCTAGAGAAGTTAAGTCCTTTGCTTGAAGCTACACAGCTAGAATATGGCAGATTTAGGGTTCAGACCAAGACACCACTTTGCCAAGGTATAGAACTAGGGCTGACACAAACTAGTGCTGTCATACCACTTGTTTAAATACCGAAGTCCTTCTAGACTGATCACCACTACATCAAGGAATTCCCTACCCCCAGCTGCCACTTTGGACCCTCCCGCAGCCCCGGACTTTCTCACAAACTGAGCAACTAAAGGGTTAATTCTTGGCATAGGACCATGTTCCACTCAGTTCTGATGGGTGCCAGGCTGATACCTGCTGCTAAATATTTGGGATGCTTCCCCACACCACTGACAGCTTTGTTGCCCAGATGGGGAAATTAAGATCTATAGAAGAGCTGGGGCTATCTTTCTTTTCCTTTCCCCCAGCACTGAGCACACAGCTGGGCCTGGGGAGGCAGATGCTATGTAAAAATTTATTGAGTCACCACAGGCCTTTCCTTCCCCTGCGCAGCATCCCGCTCTACCTGCCAACATCCTGCATTGGAGAACTTGTGACCCAGGTGTGGCTCTGAAGAGCTGGCCGGGGAGGGACGCTGCCCAGCTGCTGCTCTTCTCTTGTCTCCTGTCCCCTCCCCTGGCCATGACAGAGACCCGTGAGCCAGCTGAGACTGGGGGCTATGCCAGCTTGGAAGAAGACGATGAGGACCTCTCTCCAGGTGAGGCAGCCTTAGAGATGGTGGCATTGCCTTGAATATCATCCTGGCTTGGAATTGGGGCTCTACTGAGAAATCTAGAGGGGGAGTGGCCCCTTGTCTCGCTAGGTGTTCCATTCTGACTGGGACTGTGTGCCCTGCTGGTGGAATCCTTCCGGCTGAGACTTCTGGGGGTTGTAGATTGGCTAGGATTGCTCTCCTTAATAGGGGTTCTAGATTGGTTGTGGTCTCTCTCCTCACTGGGGGTTCGAGATCGGCTGTGCTCTCTCTCCTCACTGGGGGTTTGAGATTGGCTGTGACCTCTCTTGCTGAAGGTGCTAGATAGGTTGTGATCTCTCTCCTCTCGGGGGGTTCCAGATAGGCTGTGATTTCTTTCTTTTCTGAAGGTTCTGGATTGGTTGTGATCTCTCTCTTTTCTGAAGGTTCTGCATCGACTATGACCTCTCTCTTTTCTAGGGGTTCTGGATCGACTGTGATTTCTCTCTTTTCTGGGGGTTCTGGTTTGGCTGTGATCTCTTTCCTTGCTGGAGGTTCTAGATTGGCTGTGATCTCTTTCTTTGCTGGAGGTTCCAGGTCGGCTGTGCTGTGTCTCCTCGCTGGGGGTTCTAGATCGTCTGCCACCTCTCTCCTTGCTGGGGCTTCTAGATTGTCTATGATCTCTCTCCTTGCTGGGTGTTCTAGATCGTCTGTGATCTCTTTCTGTGCTGGGTGTTCTAGATTGTCTGTGATCTCTCTCCTTGCTGGGTGTTCTAGATCGTCTGTGATCTCTCTCTCTGCTGGGTGTTCTGGATCGTCTGTGATCTCTCTCCTTGCTGGGTGTTCTAGATCGTCTGTGATCTCTCTCTGGGTGTTCTGGATCGTCTGTGATCTCTCTCCTTGCTGGGTGTTCTAGATCGTCTGTGATCTCTCTCTCTGCTGGGTGTTCTGGATCGTCTGTGCTCTCTCTCCTTGCTGGCTGTTCTAGATCGTCTGTGATCTCTCTCCTTGCTGGGTGTTCTAGATTGTCTGTGATCTCTCTCCTTGCTGGGTGTTCTAGATCGTCTGTGATCTCTTTCCTTGCTGGGGCTTCTAGGTTGTTTATGACCGCTCTCCTTGCTGGGTGTTCTAGATCGTCTGTGATCTCTCTCCTTGCTGGGGCTTCTAGACTGGCTGTGACTTTTTTCCCTTCTGGGGGTTCTAGATTGGTTATAATTTTTTCCCTTGCTGTGGGTTCTGGATTGGCTATGTCTTCTCATCTGACTGGGAGTTCCTTTCCGGGTACGACTTCTTGCCCTACTGTGATTTTTCTTCGAACTGTGACTTCTCATCCCACTGTGGGCTCTCTTCTGACTGCGACTTCTTGCTCTCCTAGACCAGCTGTGACTTTGGGTCCTGCTGGGGGTGCTAGACCAGCTGTGACTTTGGGCCCCGCTAGGGGTGCTAGACCGGCTATGACTCCGGGTCCTGCTGGGTGCACTGTCCTGGTTGTAACTCTTGCCCCTGCTAGATACTTCAGTTGGGCTGTAACTCCATTCCCTGCCAGGGGTGATCATCTGACTATATCTCTTTACCCTCCTCGATGATGATGGAGACTGGCTGTAACCTTTCTTCTTGAAGGGAGTTCTAGTGGGGCTGTAACTCTTGGCCCTACTTGGGGTTGTAGCCAGCTCAGAACTCTTCCCCATGCCTGAGGCTCCTGGTGGGCTGTAACTCTTCTCTCTGCTCAGATTTCTAGGCTGGCTCTTACTTCTTTCCCGGTTGTTGTTTCTAGGCCGGCTGGAACTCTTGCCCCCACTCTGTTTTTTCTGGGAAGTAGGAGTTCTTGCCCTGTTGGGCACACCTGGTGTGGCACCGTGAGTTCTTATCCTGGTCACGGTGCTGGCCCTGCTGGGTGACCTCTTGGAGCTGCGGCTTCCCCTTCTGCCAGGAGGTCGGCCCCGGCTGTGTGTGCCCCTCCGCTGGTGGGGTCTTACCCCACTGGCCTTGCTGATTTTGCTGGCCCTGGTGTCAGTGCTGGCCTTGCTGGGCGTCCTTGCCCTGCTGTGGACTCGGGACTTGCTGCCGGGCTGTTTAGAAGGGGCTGTCTTTGTACTTGCCCACTTGGTAGACTTGGAACTGCTTGGGCTTGTGGCCGAGTTGGGGGCCGTTGCTGGCTTGGTGGGCACCGAGGAGCTGTTGGGCATTGCCGATTTGGTGGGCCTCAAGGAGGCGGGAGGCTTGGGAGGCACTGTGGACATCGAGGGTTCAGTGGATGCTGGAGACATGCCAGGCTTGGAGGATCTCGTAGGTGGAGAAGGCATGGTAGGTGCAAAAGGGCTTGTGGTCCTTAAAATCACAGTGGACATGAAAGACCTGGTTGCCATGAACAACGACCTGATTGCCTTTCCCAAGCCAACCGCATGAAGTCATAGTGGGCCTTGAAGGCCATGGAGGGCAGGTGGTGTGAAGTCAGGTGGGAGGAGAAAGAGGGGTGGGGCCCCGGCCCAAGACCAGAGGGGTTTCCTCTGTGTTTTGCAGCCATTCAGCAAATGTCTGCTGAGGCTGCCTGGGGACTCAGCATTGCTGGGGACATGGAGATGGGTCAGACCCAGGTGCTGTCTTCCAGGAGTCCCCCATCTCCAGGTCACTACGCGGGTAGTCAGGATGTGTTGGAGTTTGGGTGGGGGGGTGGGGACAGGGGCAGAGGGTTCCCAGACAAGAGGGAGACACTAACCACTTGAGGAGTCCGGGAGGACTTCACAGAGGAGGTGATGTGTGAGCTGGGCAGTGTTGGGGACCCCAAGATGAGTCAGACCTGCCCTCAAGGAGTCCTAGTCTGACGGGGGAGACGTACTGGGGCCCAGATGGCTGCAGCCAGGGGAGAGGGCCGGGCCAGCGGGAGCCGGGGTGGAGGGAGCCGCCGTCATAGAGGACAGAGCCTGTGCTGGGGCCTGAAGGATGAGTAAGAGGTCGCCAGGCAGACAGAGTGGGGGACAGCCTTCCAGGAGGAGGGAGACAGACAGCAAGACCGAGGCAGGAACGAGTAGAGAGAGAGCCGCAGGGAGGGACGTTCAGCCAACATTTAGCACCTACTCTCCTGAGCTGGGGGATGCCGGGGACTCAGCAGTGAGTCAGAGCAGGCCTGCCCCCTGGTCTGGTGGGAAAGGGCTTTGTACAGGCACAGCCCTCAGGGCTCAGGGTGAGGACAGCCGGAGGGCAAAAGACAGTGAGTGGCTGCCTAGGATGAGGAGATCTGGGACAGCCTCACCAAGGAGGGGGGCTTCCTACCGCGTCCTAAAGAATGATGGGGAAAACCAGGGTGAGACCTTCCCAGCAGAGGGAACAACATGTGTGAAAACCTCTGGAAAGGTTTGCTAAATTGAATGCCAGGCACAAAGGAGGCGTTCTAGATGCTAGAGATGCAGCAATGAACCAGACAAAGTCCTTGCTCTGGGGGACAGGCAGTAAACACACAGGCTGATGTTGGATACGGGAAGTTGAGGAGACAAAACAGAGCAAAGTCAGGGGCATAGGGAGCGCTGGGGAGGGACTGCCCATCAGACAAGAGTGGTGGGGGTGTCTCTGACAAGGTGACCCTGGCGCAGAGACTTGGCGAGGGGAGGGAGCAAGCCTTAGTCCATCTGTAAAAAGGGGGTAGCAAATGCCCTGCGGCAGGTGAACGCCTGAGGGGTCGAGGAGCCATGAGGAGCCCAGTGTGGTTGGCTCCGTTGTCATAAGACCCTTCCAGGCTGCTGGAGGAAAATGAGGAAGAGAACCCAGGATGGACGCAGAGCAAGGTTGTAGCAGTCTTAGGGGATGCTTTTGATAGGTGCCTGCAGTATTTCCCACACCACTGCTGCTGTAGGGGGGCCTCCCTCCCCCACCCAACCAGTGTTCTGTGTGCACCCCCGTAATGACTGCTGATGGCGCCCTTTCCTGTCATCGACTGCAAATTGTTTTCCTTTTCTTAACCTACACTTGTCCTAGACATGTCCTGCATGCCCATGAAATCACAGTAATATATCTGTACTTACAAATATTTTAGCGGGGGCACCTGGGCAGCTCAGTCGGTTAAGGGTCTGCCTTCGGCTCAGGTCATGATCCTGGGGTCCTGGGATCGCGCCCCAAGTGGGGCGCCCTGCTCAGCGGGGAGTCTGCTTCTCCCTTTGCCCCTCCCCCCTGCTCCTACACACACACACACACACACACACACACACACACACACACACACACACTCTCTCTCTCTCTCTCTCTCTCTCTCTCTCTTTCTGTTTCTCTCTCAAATAATATTAAAAAAATTTTAGGGGTG